GAACGTCAATCCTTCAAGGATCCGTGAAGATCCGGGTTAGAATTGATCTTCAGCAACCTATGCTTATCATAAGATACCACTAACGGGATCGGATGGTCAGGATCGCTGACTTGGTTGACACATGTCATCGTATCCCAGTTGCGTAGATCGATGCTCATGATACTGATCCCTGGATTGTCTGGTCCAGACTCGATTATTTACAGACCGCCGCCATATAGGTAGAATATTGCCGAGAGCGGCGTAAAACTAAACTCACTCACTCAATCCTTCAAGGCTCGATAGCTGGATAGGAATGATGACACACTTAAACTCCCGATCCAAATTTCAAAATCCTCTTTCGAAAATGTATGTATGTTATCTGTCACATATCAGGGGTAATGGAGAGTATTCCCAAGCTATAGTTTAACTCTGTCTTGTACAAAACGGTCCAAACTATCTTCGTCTCGGGTTGATTCGGTACGGCATTTCGGTTTTGCACGTTGTGATACATTTGATTGATATGTGAAATAAACAACTTAGAGAATAAAGGGGGTCGGCTGAAGGTGGGGCCCTCTAACAACTTGATAGCAGCACGGGGATAAAGAAACTTGTACATAGCAGCTGTCACGACGGATCAACGCATAAGAACTGACAACTGCGCGGACCTCGGAGAGAACAACATGCAACAAGTGCGTTAAAACATTCAGAGAAATAACGGTAAATCCTTGTACAGAAGTGCATATTCTCATATTCCAGAGTAACCATTTGAAAGATATGAAATCCGAAAAATAGAATGAGTTGATTTGTATCATATCAATGTTTAAAATTTAAAACTGTTACTCTCTTTTAAATAGCTTTACATCAGTTGGACACAGGCGTTTTGGATTTGATTAACGGTGCACCTTCTTAGGATTGCAAGAATGAATCTCATCATCGAGGATAAAGCATGTGTTTTTAATGTATTTTAAGAGGAATTCTATAAATCTGACACATTTCGTGTTTTTGAGTAGGAGGAGAGCCGAACAAAACAAAACACATAAAAATGTCTTTTTGTCTTCTTGTTTATCACACATTTGGTAGCTGGGAATATTGTTGCCAAGAAGACAAGTGACACGTTTCTAGAATATCAGACCTTTATTCGGCGTGGGATTGACAAGAGTAATTGGGTTATGTTGATGTCACAATGAGATGTAGAAATCCCGTGTGCTGTGATACCATGGCAACATAAAAAGGCAACGCCGTTTTCAGCAGTAATCTACTACATGTATCTACCCGCCCGTCAGTTTCAAGTAGGACCGGTGATATTCGACTTATATATATGATATGTCGAACCTACGGTTGTCTCGATGAAAACAATTGTCCGTGTATTGCTTCTTTATCCATCAGTCCTGGTTGTGTCGAGTCTCGGGAAACTCTAATAATTTACGTTAGTACCTTTAACTTCGACACAACGGGGTCTGACGGCATATCCTCCCCCACCCGTCAGTTTCATGTAGGCGAAAAACTACAAAAGCGTAATGTTGGGTAACGGGGTAGCCTTGTGGTTAAAGCGTTCGCTCGTCACGCCGAAGACCCAGGTTCGATTCCCCACATGAGTACAATCTGGGAATTTCTGGATTCCCCGCCGTGATATTGCTGCGGTATTGCTAAAGGCGCGTAAAACTAAACTCATTCACTCACCCACTCTCTTCCATAAAATTAAGTTGCTTTGAAACAAAAACATGACGGCGAGTATGGTAATAAATCTTCTAATTTTAAACCAGTTGAACTAACAAAGAAACATTTTGAGAAGCAACAAAATGTTTGCAGATGAAGAGCCACAATAGGTAAAATGGGGGATTCAACCCCAAACCCCACTCTCTGAATCTCTCGCCGTCAACAGTTGCAAGATTACTAACGCAACGTTTAGCAAGATATATTTATTCCCTGTATTTTCCAGCTGTCCAAACCGTGAAGGTCCGGATTAGAATGAACCTTCAGTAACCCATTCTTGTCGTAAGCGGCGACTAACGGGATCGGGTGGTCAGGCTCACTGGCTTGGTTGACACATGTCATCGGTTCCCAATTGCGCAGATCGATGCTCATGCTGTTGATCACTGGATTGTCTGGTCCAGACTCGATTATTTACAGACCGCCGCCATATAGCTGGAATATTGCTGAGTGCGGCGTAAAACTAAACTCACTCACTCACTCAGATGAAACGAACCGTTCTCACTTCCCTGTTTCTTAAACATTTCTTAAACAGTTATGACATTGCTATTCAGCTGATTATGTCCGGTTACGTTATATATTCAGACAGGTAAAACTAAACTCACTCACTCACTCCAGCTGTCCATGTCATTTTATACATCCAGTTAGAAATGTGTGAAATTTACATCTAATTCCGTTAGAATTGTGTGTTTGCTACTGTCTGAAACTAATGTTGCAGTTAACATATGCTAAAATATAGTTTTCAACTGATTTAACTGAAATAGAAGTGCAACGTAAAATACATTCTTGCACTTTTTTAAGCTAATATTGTTATTCAACAAAATACGTCTGGTTTATGCAACTTTTGCTAAAAAGAGTATGCAGTCTCCATACAGAATCCTGCGGTACTGTGTGCTTATCTTTATAGGACTAAAAAGGGTATCGGTTGGCAACAATGGTTGGTAAGTATGGATAGGTATATTGCCAGCATAAAATACGTAATCGCAGTCTGCCTTTCGACTGTATGCTTGTCTTCATAGGATTAAAAAGTTTATCGGTTGGCAACAATGACAGGTAATTATGGACAGTTATTGACAGGGGAAAATAATGTCAGTTTCTGCGTTTCATGACCTCAGCTGGGTCGGTGTTCATTCTCTCCACCACTAGTTTACCTGCTCCAGGGTTCATGACCCTCTGGCGCCGTCATTGTGATATTAATGATATACCGCCATGCTATTGACGCACTATCGTTGTGAGATATCAAATATATTGCCGTGATACTGCTTAATGCGGTAGTATTATCTGATTTACTCTGATATTGCTGTGCCATGTTATATTTAAGTTATTATGCTATGATGCATGTTAATCTGAGGTGATGGTAATCTGTCCAAGCTGGGCACTTCATTAGTTTTCTGCTCTATTGGGGAACTGTTTGTCAAATCATTCAGTAGAGTTATGTCCCCTTGATGTGCCAGGAATCTGTGGCCGTGGTCGTTTACACCATTAACGTGAATGTGGGTTTTCACGTAAATGGAAGAGAGTGAGTGGGTGAGTTTAGTTTTACATCGCTTTTAGCAATATTCCAGCAATATCACGGGGGACACCAGAAATAGGCTCCACATATTGTACCCATGTGGGGACTCGACCCCAGGTCTTCGGCGTGACGAGCGAACGCTTCAACCACTCGGCTACCCCACCGCCCCCGTAAATGGAAGCGTCTAAGTCCACCATCCTTTTCGAATTTTTCATGCATGTCAAGGAGACATATCGTGATATTAAAGAATATTTTTTCACTTCGGCGTTGGACTCCCAGTCTAACTGTTAGACTTGGGTGTCAACCATGTCAGCGAGCCTGACCACCCGATCCCCAGGCTTACCTACTTGGTTGACACATGTCATCGCATCCCAATTACGTAGATCGATGTTCATGCTGTTGGTCACCGGACAGTCTTCCTCAAGACTCGATTATTTACAGACCGCCTCCATATAGCTGGAATCCTGCTGCGTGCGGCGTAAAACAATAAAGAAACAACAAGTTAACTTACCCAAAATGTTTTTCCAAAGAGTAGTGAGTGAGTTTAGTTTTAAGCCGCTTTTAGTGATATTCTAGCAATATCACGGCGGGAGACACCAGAAATGGGCTTCACACATTGTACCCATGTGTGGAATCAAGCCCGGATCTTCGGCGTGACGAGCGAACGCTTTAACCACCAGTCTACCCCACCGTCCCCTACCAAAGAGTAAGCGATGTAATCTTCCTAGGTCTTTCTCGATCATATCTTGTGTAACAAGGAATGATACTAGTTGTTTCTCAGTATGTGAAGCCCATTTCTGGTGTCCTTCGCCGTGATGTTGCTGGAACATTGCTAAAAGCGGCGTAAATAAATACTCACTCACTAGTTGTTTCTGAGTGAGTGAGTGAGTTTAGTTTTACGCCGCACTCAGCAATAGTCCAGCTATATGGCGGCGGTCTGTAAATAATCGAGTCTGGACCAGACAATTCAGTGATCAACATCATGAGCATCGATCTGCGCAACTGGGAACCGATGAGTTGTTTCTGAATGCAACTCGACACCTGAGAGCTACCGAATTGTCACACTATAATACAGGATTTATGAGAGAGGTTAGACTAATTAGTCTCCGAATACATATACTTTTGATAGAAACACATAATTTTTTTTAAATTGAAAAGGAACCGCAATGAGATGGGAGACTCTGAACCTGGGGAAATCTGGACTTGCTTCACTTCGGGCTTTAGCATTCCAGAATGGATGGTTGGTTGTTGTTTAACGCCGCACTCAGCAGAATTCCAGCCATATGGCAGCGGTCTGTAAATAATCGAGTCTGGACCAGTGATCAGCATCATGAGCATCGATCTACGCAATTGGGATACGATGACATGTGTCAACCAAGTCAACGAGTCTGACAACCCGGTCCTGTTAGTGGCCTCTTGCGACAAACATGGGTTACTGAAGATCAATTCTAACCAGGATCCTCACGGGTAATTGCAGAAAGGGGTGGGCGGTAGGAAAATTAATAATGCGGTTCAGGAATCGTGAGACAGGTGAACGATAAGATAAGTGATAATTACCAAAGCATCGCCAATACATAATAAGCAAATTTACATATCAGCAATTCAGCGTCTATGGCATTAACACATCCATCAAATGACATAATCAACAAATATTTATTAAATACAATATTATTGATATCAGTACTCGAATCGACAGGGGACAAAAAACACCCAAATGCAATTAACATCTTGTAGATTAATTCACTGGCAATGCGTATGTGCCGTATTATCGCTTGTAGCATACCCTTGTTTATTACAGATTACGTTAATCGGGTGAGAGAAGGGTCGTCACATTCTGCAGACCCGTGCCAAATACGTTACACCATGCCGCTTAACGCCAACCTAAGTTACACCGAAGCCAGTGGTGATCCTTTCACTGGGGGTGTGAGCAAGCTGGATAGTGACGAGAGCGGTGGTGTTGTCGAACTGTGTCGAAGCAATACCGATCTCCTGCAAGACAGAGACAGGGAGATTCACGATTCGAGTCACGTGAACCGAGGCTTCTCTGTCAGTGATGTATCGTTAGCCAATCAGAGATCCCAGCTACCGTTGAACACTCGAGGTCTGGTGAATGAAACGAGACCCGGCGTAAAAGGACGAGGAGTTCCGAGGATGACACAGCCGAACGTCGCGCTGCTGCCGCACGGAGAGAAACGAGCAGACGACATCGATGTGGAAAATGGAGAAAAAAGGGACACGTGGGGTAAAAAGGTGGATTTTTTACTGTCGGTCATCGGGTTTGCAGTGGATCTTGGAAATGTATGGCGCTTCCCTTATATATGCTACAGAAACGGCGGAGGTAAGTGATTTTTTTCTGTTTTATTCCAATAAAACTCCCGACGATGTCCCACTACCTGAAAAGTTCTTGATGATTAAACAAAATCCCTGATATATGAGTTTGACAAAGACCTATTTCCTATTTCTTCGATCAACAGGTGAAATGGGTGGCTCGAAAGGTATACATAAAATACAATATATTTCTGCTGTGTGATAATTCTGTGATATGTACTCACCAGGAAGGAATGACCGCTACCACGGTGACATGATTCTGTAGTAGTCGTAGTAGCGGTCGCTGCAGCAGCTGCAACAACAGCATTAGTGGTAGACTAGTGGTTGCCGTTGTCTTAGTAAATATGTACAAGGAACTGAGTATGGTTTATACGCAATGTTCCAGCAATATCACGGCGGGGGACATCAGAAATGGGCTTCACACATTGTTCCCATGTGGGGAATCGAACCCGGACCTTCGGCGTGAAAATGTGAACAATGCTCTGAAGTGAACTTTTGTGTAGTTGATTCTGTACCACGAGATATCTGGCTATTCTGACGATGTCAGTCAGTACAATTATTAGTAATTATGAAAAATCATAACAAATTTTTTTCTGAGCCATTACTTGGCTTTAGCCAGAGAAATCATTCTCATCATTCCGGAAGCAGAATAAACAAATTATCATGATTTTTCAACACGTAATCAATCAAAAGCACCATGACGCGCTTCAGAAAAATGCATGAGTATAATCATTCAATGTCAAGTTCGATGTTTCTATTTCCTAAGAACTACTGCACCTCTTCTGAAATATGAAACAGGAAGTGTGTCACAGGTTCATATGCGGCCACCGAGCTGGACCGTTAGACAAATGATTGAAATCATATAGTATAAATACATTATAGAATACCACACTTCCGTGTATGAAGTCTTATCACACGGCTATGATAACGGTAGGTAAGCTTGGAATTTAAGATAAATAATACGAAATAGACATTCTGACTGTCGGGATAATATTATCATAATCTCCGCCAGCCCCTTACCCATTGCATGGTGACATTTAATTGAAGTAGTATTAGCAGTAGTAGTAGAAGTCGCAATCGCCGAAGTAGTTGTAGGCGATGTGCAGTTTCGCAATTACCGTGTAATTAAAGTAAAGGAGACAAACATACGTCCGGTCCAGTTTGATATTCTTCATGATTTCCATCAAGTTTCTAGTTATTGTAAGAACCTGAACATGTGAATGAGTATGCTAATATGCCTCCGTCGGTAATTTCACATATTTTCCTAAGTGAGGAATCGAATCTGAGACTTTAACCACACCTGTAGTAGTAGCAGTGGTAGTAGTAGTAGTGGAAGTCGTAGTACAACGTAAACGATGCGCAGGTACGTGCCTACAGAGTAATTACAGTTGAAGAGATAACATATTGGGATTATCAACACGTGTCGACATATTCAGTATCGACTCCTAGTGTACAGTGAAATAGCAAATGGACTTGAAATAAACCCTGTCGCCGGTCTCAGATGTTGGTAGAGTTTACACTTTTAAAGTAGGAGCGGCTGGTCACTCAACAGGTAGTTTATCGGTCTGACCGCAATTACACCGTGTCGTCGCTGCAGTAGTTCTGACTGAAGAGGGGCGGTGGGGTAGCCTAGTGGTTAAAATGGTCGCTAGTTGCACCGAAGGCCCGGGTTCGATTCCCCACATGGGCACAAATTGTGAAACCCATTTCTGGTGTCCCCTGTCGTGATATTGCTGGAGTATTGCTAAAAGCGGCGTAAAACCATACTCACTCACTCACTCTGATTGACGTTGTATCATTAACACATAGGCGGAATGCTGACGGATAGGTTTAAGGAAAGACAGGGTATTGTTGACGAGAACTGACGCGCTCCTCCAAAATAGGCGCCCCCAAAACAAACCCCAAGAGAAGAAAGAGAAAAAACAAAACGAAAAACAAACTAGTATAAAATAAAAAAATCCCCAAACCAACCAAGCAGAAAATCACGCAAGCCAAAAGGCCATAAACTATTGGTTTGTTTGTTTTCTATTGTTTTGTTCGTTGTATACAACCACATTCAGAAAGTTTCAAGCTTTTGAACGACAGTTAGTCAAGTCTGGGTCAGTCTGTCAAACGTTTGATGTCATGAGCTTCGACCCACGATGACCTGCTGTCAACAAGTAAACCAGCTTGACCTGGCCATTTTGTCGCCTCTTCCGAGTTGCAGTTAGTTGGTTTGGAACAACCATACTTATCGAGATTCCCAAGGATCATGAAAACTGTTTGAGAACGCATGTGTGTAAATGTTCCATGTATCTTGTGAGGCACTGGTGCTGATTCGGCGAGATTAATCATGGCTGTGATAAATGGGACAAATATTAACAATATATGTTTTATAGTGAGACCCGGCACTTAACGATCTAGCGACGTATGAATTTACGGAGCTTGTCTTGAAACATATATAAACTGCCATGTTGTAATTACTGAGTGCATAAAATGTTGACTAAACCGACATGGACTGTTTCGTTTGGAGATGATCGAGTCCGAGATAATGTATTTATCCAAATAGAAATACGTGTCTATCAAATTAGGTACACGTATGCATGAAGATCCATAAATCAACGTTATTTCTGCCTTTCTAATTACCTTAAGCGTAAAGTAGAACTTACTACCCTTATAATTGAACCCGATAACTGTCCATGTAATCCGTGTCTGAATTTTACAAGAGAGAGAGAGAGAGAGAGAGAGAGAGAGAGAGAGAGAGAGAGAGAGAGAGAGAGAGAGAGAGAGAGAGAGAGAGAGAGAGAGAGAGAGAGAGAGAGAGAGAGAGAGAGAGAGAACGGCTACGCTTAACTTTTCACGTATCAAGTTAACAATGTAACAAAGTCGATTTCACTGCCCCTGTCACGTGCTCATAATTTGATTGACAGCTACGCTGGGGTCTCATATCGTATTCAATGAAACATACTTCCATAGACATATCATTGACAACATATTTACACTGTGCATTATAGCCCCCCGCGGACTGAGGAGAATAAAAAAGAAGCCATTTCACAGACCTATATCTTTATGTCAATCAAGAAAGATAAGTATTTCTCTTTGCGAGATAGACAAGCTCGCAAAGGCCCTTGCGCCTCCACGTGAGATTTGGAGCGCATTTCACAATGGACTGCTCATGTTACCCAGTGCTGTTTATGTTAAATTTAGGGACCATGTATCATGTTGTACTAGTTAATAAAACTTCTTTAACTTAAAGAATGTGTTTTATGAGCAGGGAATGTGGGAAGTCATAAGTGTGAAGGTTAGTCCCCATAGCGGACTGGATCGGCATTTGACATGCTAAAACGCTAAACGGAAAGGGAATATTTTGGTTGTGGGTGTGAGTTTGAATGACAGTTTACTTTGATGTGATTGTTACATTGTGTCATAGTCCATTATGTATTTGCGTCATGGTATTTCCAGGTCATGTCGCCAATATTTATGAATGGTTTAGTGGGTCACTGAAAGGGTGAGCGAGTTTAGTTTTACGCCGCTTTGAGCCATATTCCAGCAATATCACGACAGGGAACACCAGAAATGGGCTTCACACATTGTACCCATGTGGGGAATCGAACCCCGGTCTTCAGCGTGACGAGCGGACGCTTTAATCACTAGACTGCCCCACCGTCCCCTATTCGCTTCAAGCCAAATCTAAACTGGAAGTACTGGCAAATCTGATTGAAACCTTTAAATATCGTCCTGTTCGTGCACTTAGATTGTAAAATGTACTACATGTATCTTGTTACTGGTATTGATTATGCTACCTTAAGTCAAACATCGGGCGAACTAAGTATGCACCTAATTATTGGTTTCCCAGGGGCAGGGGATGAGACAATGCTTGACCTAGCTATTCGTATCCTGGCAACGTTGGTCGTAGCTCATACTATCCACCACTGGTTTTCCTATACCAGGTTGGCGACGATGGCTAAGACAACAATCATTCATGTAAGCCCATCGTCTGATGGCTTTGTGGTCGCCGCTATTGACGGAGGAGAGGAGGGCGACAGTCTTATATTTCCAATGTCAACAGGTTTGAACGATCGTGGCTTTGGGTTTAACAAGCTGGCGGGAAATGTGAACAGAGTACTAGTAGACATAAACAAGGACGGCAATTACTCACATGAAACTTTCCATATATAGCATATACAGACAAGAATATGGTGGCGTAGCTTACATGCCAGTAAAAACAGCTGGGGGGCCAAGATAAAGTGTGGATGCATGCCCCTAATACCCCACACCCATACACCATCCATGCCACGCCCCACCCACACACTACACATCCACACCCACACACTACCCACACACACATCTGCACCCACACACTACCCACACACTACATCCACACCCACACACATCCACACCCACACCCACACCACACACATCCACACCCACACACTACCCACACACTACCCACACACTACACATCCACACCCACACACTACCCACACACTACACATCCACACCCACACACTACCCACACACTACCCACCCACGCTCTACAAACCCACACTCTGGACGCTAACAGTGGAAAACAAAGCTTTTGAAAGTGTTCCTGCCTTTTTCACTTCGTCTACAGTTCTTGTTACCAATATAACTTGTTATTCAGAATTTCTTTTTGCAGTAGTACTTAAATTAAAGAAAACCAAAACATCGACCGAGCTTCTTTTTTTCTATAAAGATGCACAATGTACCGAAATCCCTTGTTTTAGCGTTAAATACTTCCACTGCGGCAAGTGTAGTGACTAAATTGGTTGATCTCACGTCTACTGGGACATCCGGGGCGGTGGGGTAGCCTAGTGGTTAAAACGTTCGCAAGTCACGCCAAAGACCGGGGTTCGATTCCCCACATGGGTACAATGTGTGAAGCCAATTTCTGGTGTCCCCCGCCAGGTTTGAGTTTGGTTTTACGCCGCTTTTAGCAATATTCCAGCAACATCACGGCGGGGGACACCAGAAATGGGCTTCACACATTGTACCCATGTGGGGATTCGA